GGCGTTATGTCTGCATGTGCAAGGGGCAGCCGCGGTGCTCGCTCCCTCCCCGCCTTTGGCTGCGTGTTGTCACCCCTTCTCCGTCACATCCCCAGCTGCCAATCCCTAGGGAACCTGACTGGAGGCTCCCCGGTGCCTTTGGCACAGACAAGGACCCCGAGTCCTCCTCTAGATGTCTCTAGGCCTGGCCTAAAGCACTGCGAGAACATCGTCCTGCTTCCGTGGTGGCTTTTATGATTATTTCTCATGGCTTCTGTCTGTCACAGGCACTTGCTGGTCCAAGCTGATTTTGCTAAAGCCACAGTTGGTGCTGTTGTGCGTCAGCAGTGTCACGGGACCAAGCAGCTTCATCAGGGCGTTCCTATGATCAGACTGCCAGGTCCCTTTGCTAAAACATGTCTTGAGCTTTCCAGGCACGGTGGGCACCACCGGAATCAGGTCTGGTTACAGTTCCAAACATATCTGACTGTGCCGCCCTCCCCAGCTCAGACTGATATGGGCCGTGCCTGGCACATTTGCATGGGTGGCTCTGCTTAGTGCGTGGCTGAGCTTGTGAAGGTGGCTTCTCCCAGCCTCGGGATTTCATTTTCGTTTTGCCTCTAGTTCTGTGATTTGGGGAAATACAGTGTAAACACATCAGTTGCCCAGTTGCATCTGTAATCACAAATTCTGGCTATTAGGACTTGAAGGCTACTGGGCCTTTACAGGAAATATTCGGTGTTGACCACTGGAATTGTACTGAAAGATGATGGCACTATTCACTTCATCTTTCTATGAGGAAATTATGTGGGAAGAAAACCCCAACCCTTGATTTTTGATACACTGTCCATTTTCATGTTGTGTTTTAGGGGAATTTTAAATGTGTACAGTAATTTCCTGCTGGTACCTAGTCAAACCCCCGTGTGACATTTAGCCACGCTTTAGCTGCAGATTCAATTAAACATCAGCAGACTGCTGCGCAGGGTTGGAGCTGCCTTGGGACTTTGATGCTTGATGTATTCTTGCACATCAAAGTGAGCTGGTGTCTGCTTGTTTGAGCACCTATTTTGTACCTCCTCTTTGGCAGTAGTTTGCTTCAGATGGCTGAGAAAGCAACCGAAGGAGCAGAGGAGCTCCCCGGCTCTTCTCCTGATGAAAACGAGTTTCCTTTCGGCTACCCCACCAGCATTTGTGAAGACGTGCCCGACCAGAAGTACCTGTGCAGCAACTGCAATAACATTCTGAAGAAAGCCCTGCAGACGCTGTGCGGGCATCGCTACTGCTCCGCGTGCCTGGCCTGGATCGTGCGGTAAGTCCTTTCTGCGGGGGTCACGTAGCTGGGACGGGCTCTGTGCTCGCGTTGTGCCCAGTGTCATGTTCTACCACAATACTCACTAGATAAGAGGTCATGGTTACCTGGCCCCCTGGTCAGTAGCCACTTTATTGCCTTAGGATATTTAATTCTGATGTTTTGGAAAACTGCAGCTGTCAAGATGCGGTGACATCAAAATTATGTCATGCTGTTCCTCTGGTCAGCTGAGTGCTTTTCTGTTGGGCCTCCTGTGTTAGTGCATGATTCATCTGGATGATAGTCTGCAGGCAATGAAATGCACTTTTCTTATATGAAACTCTACATAAAATATTTTGAGAGTAAATAAAAACATTTTGTTATCTCCAGTAGGATGTTAATCCTCTAGAACTTATTTTTGCACCAGTATTTTGTTTTGCAATTCAATATCTCTCACAGAAAAGTGGGCACTTCCCAACTGTGAAAAAAAAACTTCATTTTTCACATTACTTTTCCTAAATGGTGTTTTTGTATAATTCATAAAATTATCTCCTATTTTTCTCCACTTTTGTTTTGCTGAAATACAGATCAGATTTATGGGGCTGAGCCTGGTCTTGGGGAAGACATTAGCTGTTTTTCCTTTGAATTCAAGAATTGGCCCTTTAATAAGAAAGACTGTAGATTCTGAATAGAAATTATTACCTCCAGATTTTTTATTTGTGTTAATAACCGTACAGTTTTTGCAACCTGCATTTTACTGATTGATTGTTGTTTCCTTGTTCTTTCTTTTGGTCAGAAACAATAAAAATCCAATCTGTCAGAAATGTAAAGAGGAGGATCCCAGCACATTAAGTGAAGGAAGCCTATTGGCAGAAGAAAGGGTAAGCTGTAGCTTACAGCTCATGCGTTTGTCATTAACTATTTTCTGGACAAGCATTCCAGTTTCACATTTTTACTTATTTTTGAATCTTTCACAATTTTTAATAAAAAAGTATAGGGTTAGGACCTTCAAAGACCATAAGGTTCTAGAACGTAAACAGTTCCACAATCTTCTATATAATTAATTTTTATTGTCTCTGTGTGACCTGGGTTACTGTTTCCTATCTGTCAAAATCTGCTTTAATCATTGCTGTGTCTTCTTAGCAAGTGTCCTGGTGGATTCCTCAGACTCAGGCAGCGTGGTTCTCTGTGCCATTCTCTGAGCACACTACAAAAGTTTCTGGAAAAGCAGCAGCCAGGGTGCAGGGTAGTTGGCTGAACTGCCTACAGAATGCTTTGGGAGCCAAGATGTATGGAGAAAACAGTGGAAAACTTTGAGCCGAAAATAATTAAAAAAAAAAATCATGCACTGGCAATTCTCCTATAACTTTGAGATTTCTCTGATGCTGTATTTTGACTAAATCTCACGTGATTTTCTGCAAATCTGTGGGTGGGTTACTGCTCTTGCAAGCTGATCTGCCTGGGCAGAGTTCTGTGCCTGTTGGGAGCCCAGATGAGCTCAGTCACCACAAAGGCATGAGGATGTTCCTGGATGGATCAGCTTACACGAGCAGCCCAGCTTGGTAAGCAGGGCAAATAGCACAGGTCATCTAGCAGGTCCCTTCTTTGCTCCATTTCTGTTCCTGAGGACCTTGACTTACCTTTGCTTTGTCGACTCCCTGTACTGTTTGTTTACATGGTTTTATAAACACAGTTTGGGGTGGAAAAGCCCTCACAAGATGTGTATTTGCCATAGCTTATCCTGTGATCTGCTTTTGCAGTAGCCCTTGCATCTGCTTAGGGTAACTGAAGATGCTGATTTGGGGAACGCAGCCTAGATTTGTCCTGTAAAGCTCTGGGGACAGCCCGGTCAGGTTGCCAGCCGCTCCGCCTGGCCGTGTGAGCCGCAGGGCCAAGTCTCCCCTTCGCTGTGCGCTGCAGGATGCGCCCAGGTCCGAGTGCCCGGGAGAGCGGGGCTGGCGGGGCCCTGGCGGGACGTGGCAGTGACCTCCAGTTGTCACACGGCCGCTCTGGGACAGGGCACGTGTCCGTGTCCTGCAGCAGCCCCGTGTTAGGAACCCCCACAGCCCCGCACCAACACCTCCCTCTGCAATGGGCAGGATGAAAGAGGGGAGACTTCACCTAGTGTGTATGAAATGAGAGAGAAACATTTTCAGTTTCCTTCCACGTCACCCTCAGCTCCTTCCTGTCCACGTGAGTCACTGCATTTACTGTACCAGGATCTGACTCAGGCTCGGTGCTCGGGGCCGTTTCTCCCCAGATAGGAGGGCAGGACGCTGGGATGACCCAGCCGAGGCAGTGACCTGTGCAGACCAAAGCACAGAGAGGAGAGTTTCCAGCTTTGCCATTTACCTGACTCGTGTCCATAGTCATTTAGCAATTTTAAGTGTGAACCAAAAAGCACAGGGAATGTACACAGCAGCCCCATACACTACTGGGGCTGTCCCTGTAGTTAAACAAATTTCGAGTGATTTGCTTGGTAATGTCAGGAAATTCTTTGAGTTTTTCTCTTATGACACGGGAGGGAAAAGCCGCCATGTGCCTGATAACTTGAATTTCTTTTCTTTGATTTAGCTCATGAATCAGACTGGGCTATTTTGGAGGCTGGGGCTGGTATGCTCTCCCTCACTGTGCATTGCCAGCCAATTACGCAAAATCTTCCATATATGCAGATGGAGCCACACATGTTATTGTACAACCTAAATGACATTTTATTTTTTTAACTCCTTATGAAGTTATTTGCAACGTGTGTGCAGAGCATCTCTTGGGCTTTGCTGAAGGTGTTTCTCTGAGACTGTGTTGAGGTGAATCTCACTGTTACCAGCCATCAAACTGGCTGTGCTTCTTCAGGGGATTTAATTTGACAAGCATAGATAAGTCTGTAGCATTTTGTATCTAGATTAAAAAAAAAACACATTTAGGAATGTTGATTATGGTGATCTTGTTATTGTGCTTTCCTTAGGTAGTTGTGTAGAATTTGGGTGACCTTACTGAAATCTGGGCATGATTTGTAAACGCTTCACCCCACCACCACCCCCAACTTGCAATTCTTGACTTGTGTTGCAGTATATGGGAAATCTGCAGACCTCTGCATTTTGTTCTCAACACCATCTTGTCCTGTCGGTGTGCCTATTTTGATTGTGCAAGATGTGATATTAAAAGTGTATAGTGTTTCATCATTTACATAATAATTGTACAGTTCTTCATGGTTAATGCAAGAAAAGAAACCTGTGTTGTGCAAAAAAAAAAAAAAAATCACATGTGGTTTACATTTCTTTAATACCCGGTGCTGCACTAAATGGAAACAGCCATGATCTGAGAAGTTTATTCTCACTACAAAACAGTCTCGGGTCCTCTCTGCAGCATGTTTAGGAGGTGTTAATGGCCCCAGTAATGAAACGCATTCGTTAGAGTGGCACTTGGCAGCACCCTGTAGCGAGGATGCTGTCAGCACATCCATTGCACGAGGTGGATTTCAGGCTTCTGTGAAAAAGGATGCAGAATAATAGCTGTTGTTGGCCAGGCATACTTTGCCATGAATTTGTCATATCAAGTAGTTTATATTTGAACCATAAAATATAAATCATTTGGTAATTATTTGGGTTTTAATCTAACAAACTAGTTGCTAGATTAAAGCATTTTATGGCAAGAAAATAAATAAGATTTTTTTTTAAAAAAAAGAGCTTTATTAAGATCTGAAGTCCTGACACAGTCCTCTTATTCCTGTCCTGAAGAGGCATTCTGGTGCACTTTCTAACCAGTGCTTTTTCCTTTTTGTGTTTACTTTCCAGGCTTTCGGCGATGCTGCCATTAATAAAGAGATCTCTGAACTCAAAGTACATTGCGTGACCCTGGGATGCAGTTGGACTGGTATCATGAAGAATTTTGAAGTAGGTTTAAAGACTGTTTATTTAGGTTAACATGCTGCTCTTTGAACAGGAACAAAATGGGAGTGAAACTTGGTTCTCTGGAAGCAAAGATTCATGTAACTTGATTAAAATCAGCAAAGTGACAATGGTTTAAACCAACAGAGGGTCTAAAAACATAACATTGATTTTAGTAGGGCTTTGACCAGACCCAGAATTTAATGTTGCAAAACTTTGCATCAACTATATCTTTTTTTCCAAAGGGTTCAATTATTAGTTAAATGCAAGGATACCACTAGCATTTTTTTCCTGGACCAAAATACTCTGATCAGAGACTTGTTATGAGTAGTATATGTAGCCTGTTTTCCTAAGAAGTAATTTTCCCATGTGTAAACATCTCCTCTTAATTGAATGTGTTACCTAATTGTTTTCAGACTGATGTGAAATGTCCCAGGCAAAATATTTAGATGGGTCAGATTTGGGAACATGCCATGCAAATTAGAGTATTAAAAGAGAATATGCTGCTAATTCTCCTGGTATAGCAGAGGCCCCTGCTGCATTTCTAGCAGGGAGTTTTTAGAGTTAACAGCCCCAGTAAAGGAGGGGATTTTTTTCAGTAGTATTCACTGCAACACTGTAGAATGGGATTTTACTCAATCTAAGAAGAAATGCAAAGCCAAGATATTTACTGGCAGAATAAAGATTATTTATAGATAAATGTGGATCTGCAGCTTTCATCTTGGTTTATGATTTTAACTTCCAGGAGCATCAGAGCCTATGCGAATATGCTTTAATCCCCTGCCACACTGGCTGTGGACACATGGTGATGAGGAAGAAACTTGCAGATCATTTGGAAAATAGCTGTGTTAATAATGTGACAATGTGTCCGAAGTGCAAGCGGAGTTTATCCAGTAGCGAGTATCAAGTAAGAACATTTCTTTGTTTTAAATAAGGGCCCTGCTAACATTGCTATGTGGTTTTTTTTGACTTGGAAGGTCTGAACGTTTTCTCATCCCACCCTAACTCCTGATGCTGTGGAAGGGTTGTTTCCCTTTGCCTCATTCCAGTTAGCTATCACCTGATTAACTTTTGGTTAGGAAGCCTTGGCAGCAAAGCAGGAGACTGGCATTGAGAGGTTGATTTTTCTCTGCCTTCCTTATTTAGTGTTTATGAAGTAGAAATTTTGCTGGTTATATGATCTACTTTATTATTAAATTTGCTGACATGTGGCAAAAGAAATTTTCTTATTTACGTGTATTTCACTTATCCGTGATTCTCTGGGAGCAGATAGGAAAGCTGGGGCACTGCTCTCCCTTTCTCCATCCCAACCAATCCGTTATTGGCCCCATAATTTTTGCATTCCCTTATTTTAAAGAAACCTCCCTGAATCCAGCTCAAGCAATCAGTGATCTGTAGGAGTGGAAAGGCAGAAAAAAGAAGAAAATAAAGGTACACTTTGTGCAATACCTGCAGAAAAAAGAAGAAATAAAGGTACACTTTGTGCAATACCTAAGACAGAGAGTATTCAGAAATGAGTTAGGGAGTAGGGAAAAACCTGTGGCTCTTTCTGAGGATCTCAATCAGAAACTCAGGACTCTTTGCTCGAGGAGGCTTGAGGACTGCTGCAATAGCTTTATCAAAAAAAAAAAATTCCAGGCTGCTTTAGGAAATGTACTGGCATGCAGGGGCGTTTGTAAAGATTAAAGGCAAAACCCCTGAATGGTCTGAATTGAAAGCTGACAGTTGCTGTGTTAAATACACAAATTACAGTTGTAGTATGAACCAATGGCAGGAGGATTATTTCCCCCTTCTTCTTGGAGCCAAAAATGGCAGGAAGTCTCATGTTAGCACTAATGCATTTTGCATTAGCACATCATGATGGAAAATTTGGATTCCTGCCCTCAAAATGTTAATAAGCAGGATCTGAGAAAGGTCTGCACATTAAGCAAACTATACAGAGTCAAAACATGGAGAGTTTATATTTGAGTTCTCTGTGCATTTGCTCTTTTCCATAACCCACTGCATGTCATTGTGTACATATGTGTGCGTGCATATAGATGTGTATAGGTGTGCCCATGCTATAGGTTGAGCTGGGTGAGACATGTACATTGCCAATCATGTATCGGATTTGCCAGGGTGATCTTGCAAAGCATCTGTAAGTAATTTCCAGCTGGGCCCCATAAGGGAAAGATCACACTTGGTGCTTCCATTTAACAGGTATTGCATTTAACAGGTATTCCGGCATGGAAGATACCTGCCAGGCTGGGAAGACGAGTGATCAGCTCAGAGCCTTCCAAAGCTCTGGGTCTGCAAGCCCTTGTGCAGGGAACAGCAGCAATCACTTTTAGCAGATGTGCTTTAGTCCCAATTTTCTAAACATTATTTCCTGTAAAAAAAAAGCTAGAGGAGACTGCAGTCTGTTGAGTAGCGAGGCCCTTGAATCCACACCACTCAGGAGAAGAGCAAGAAAGTTACTGCAAACTCCTCCTTTCACGGCACAGAATAAGGCTTCTCATTCATTTCTTGTCGAAAGGCCCTGATGAGCCTCAGTTTTCTATGAAATGGGAGTAGCATTCTCTGAAAATACAAGCTTTGTTTCAAAAGTCCTGTGTAAGGTGGTCATTCTTTTTAGCAGCGTACTCAATATTTGCTGCTTGTTTTAATGACAGAAACATTCATGTGAAGGCAGTTTATATAAGGAAGACAAACGCATGCCAGCAGAAACGCTGTCAAAGGAAAAGGTAGGTAAAACACAAGTGAATGCAGAAGCTTTTGTATTAGTTCATTGAAGTGTCACTGGCTCATTTAGATTAAATGAACATCTAAGAGTATCTTTGCATATAGCAGTGGTTTCTGGCTGCCCAGAAACCTTCTCCTCACTGCCTCTGCAATAATCTTTATTAAATTCATTTTCTCCACTCACCTTATAAAACCAGAGAAATGATTATTTCCTTTCAAGTAATCAGGGAGGCTCAGATGAGCAAAACAAGGATATGCTGTGACACGGGTGGCCCTTTCAAAGAGTTGGAGCCTGCTGGGGCCATCCCTTTTGCAGAGGGAGCTGCAGGGAGAGGCCTGGGCTGGTGCCCTTCACTGTGCGGGGCCGCTTGGCATCCTGGCCTGTTATTTATGGGGGGTTGTGGCTTGTTAAGTTCTGTCATGAGGTGTTGGACTGTGCGTTAGAAGGACACTTACCTGCCAGGTTGCATGCAAGACTCTTGGATGGCAACGTACCACACGTAACTGCTTTAGTAAGGAGTTTTCAGCGCTGGTTGGGTAGCGTAATGTCCAGACTTGATTTAGCTTGACTTATAGCTGCTGGGGATGTGGCCTAGTTGTTTATAGGTAAATAAAAGAATGTCTTAAAAGTGGTATTTGATTATTTTCTTGGCTTTTTTTTCTCCCCTGCAACAGAACCACTCTACACCATTAATCAACAAGGATGGATGTCGGTTTTCAGAAGTTGGCTGCTCGTTTAGAGTGAGTTAAATTGCTGCCTTTGGGGAACCCTCAATTCAGTGCTGTGCCTATGACTTAGACCAGCCTATGTGTTCAAGGTCATCGGGCTTGATTTAAATATATTTTTAAGAAAAGAGAGAAATATCCACATGTGAACATATCCCCTAAACTGACCATTAGGGAGCTGGTTGGTTTTCCTTTCTCCATGTCTCCCCTGAGAGCCTGCTGGTGTGTAGATGGACCTGTATCTTGCAGTTCTGCCATCTCTGTTTCTCCCAAGAAATTAGAGGGAGTGCTGCTTGATTTGGCTCCGGGCCAGGTATGCTAGTTGCATGGACAGTGTATTGACAGTGTCTTCTTACAGGGAAGCAAAGAGAAGTTGAAGGAGCATGAAAAAAATGCAGTTGGAACCCACATGCTGCTTCTGCTGCAGCTCATAAAGGAGCTGAAGGCAACGTTGTGCCCAGCTGCCAGGGCTGCAGGCAGCCTCGTCCCGCAGCCTGCGCTGAGCATGAACGGGGCAGAAAAGAGCATCTCTGACCTGCACGTGCCAGCAGGCCTGGAAGTCAACGGGGACCTGGAAGTAGACTGTTTTCCTGTATCTTTTGTTTCTGAAGATGATTCAATTCTGCAACAAATCGTGAGGGAGAAAGTGATTTCTGAGCTAGAAAACAAGCTGCATGTGTTTGAGAACATCGTGGCAGTCCTCAATAAGGAGGTGGAGACCTCCAACTTGGAAATCATGGCCTTTCGGAGACAGAGTGAGCTCGATCAAAATATAATCCGAGGCCTTGAGCTGAAGGTAAATATGTATGGTAGACATTGGTGCGCTTGTGCATGCACAAACAGTGTATGTGTAGTGTTGGGAACAGGGATGGGGCTGTGAGCTAGTAAGTTCTGGGCACATCTTCAGGATCCTCATGTTTTGTATGAATTTTTAAATGGAGAGCTCTAGTATTTGTAATATTGTGTAATATCTACATGCATGTGTAGGCACTAGAAACCCCTGGGAATTCTGATTATCTAGAATTTAGCATGATCAGGCTGAGCAAGCGAGATAGGTGCTTAGCTGGCTGATCTCTTAAAGCAGCAGGGTGCCTGGAAACCCCTGAAAATGTCCATCCAGCTGTGCCTTTTGTGTTGACATGCAACCATCACTCAAAATGAAATCAAGAGAGATGCCCCAGAACATGAGGGCTCTGGATGGCGCTGCTGCAGCTGCAGCACTGCGGTCCGGAGAGCGGCGTTGTCTCTGAGCTGGTCTTTTTCTAGATTGCAGAGCTGCACCGGTGCCTGACGCAGAAGGACGCGGGTCTGAGCAGTCTGCACAAGAGCCTCCTCTTCTCGGAGCAAGCTTCCTACGACGGCGTCTTTCTGTGGAAAATCACGGACGTTGGCAGGAAGTTACAGGACTCGGTGACGGGAAGAACAGTCAGTTTGTATTCACCAGGTAACGCGCCCGACACATCCGCGCAGTAGCAAAACTCACACCTTAGAAAACCCGCCGGCTCCCCCGGAACGGTGCTTCCTTCTGCTCGTGTGGAGGGAAGGTCCTTTAACAGAGCTCCTCAAGGATGCTGTGTGCAAAGACACCATCCTCTCCCACCCACCGTGGCTTATTCCCGGCCGGAGCGGCTCCGGGGCCGGTTGCCTTTCGGGACCGCGGCTCCTTGCGGTGACATTGCTGGAACTGGGCTGTCCCCTCACGGCCCCGCTGCCATCGCCGCGGCCCCTGTGCCCAACACGTTGGCTCCTGCCTGCGGGGAGAGGAACTGGACACTTCAACCAAGGTATAAAGCATCGGAACCACGGCCCTGGGTTGCGTATAGCTTGAAATCTCCAGGGTGGGCTGATCTGTCTAGTCCCTTCATCCCTGTGATACTGGACACGTCACACTCCAACTCTTCTCCCATGTGTCAAGACACTATTTTAGCCTCTTTTTAAAGCAATCTTTGCTAACATAGTTCTAATTTTCAGCTTTCTACACCGCAAAGTACGGCTACAAAGTCTGCCTGAGGATTTATCTGAATGGGGACGGGACAGGGAAGGGGACCCACGTGTCTCTGTTCTTCGTTGTCATGAAAGGGGACTATGATGCTCTGCTTCCCTGGCCGTTCAGACACAAGGTGAGCAGAGGGGCTTTTTGTGCTCCCGTGCCTAAAACGAAACGTCCTTAATGATTCTTTCTTTCCTGTGGAGTCTCTTGCTGTCCCCTTGAAAGTTTTTGCATCCTATGGACAGGCAACCCTTTCAAGTCCAGTCCTAGCAGACAGGCCAGTACTCCTCCCACTCATCTCAAGAGGACTTTTCCTCTCGAGTGTCGTGGAAGTTGAAGCGTTTTCCCTCTTTTCTCCCCTGTGGCTATAAGCCATGCTCTGATCTTGGATAACAGCTTATGTGTGAATGGAAAATGCCACACACAGGGGAAGCTGCTCCCTCCGAGACTCCTCGCTTTGCTTTGAAGAATATTCACACACCAGAACAGTGGAATAACCCTGGAGATTCAAGGTGGATATAGCCTAACCTGTGTCCACCTGGGATTAAGGCACAGGCATATTTTTTCCTGTCCCTTCCTATATATGAGTGTTACCAATTTATGATTTGCTGCCTTGAGCACAGGTGTCAGAAATGGGAGGTTAAAATTGCCCTTACAGATGTCATAGATGTCTTACATGATTCTGAGCTAGTCCCTTACCCTGCTCTTATTTTTCTCATTATATAAATGCAGTCCAATAATGGCAAAAATAGAGAAAATATGCATCAGGATCTGATCTCCATTATAGCATTTACCTTTATGTGGTAATATTCTGTGAGCCTCTCCTATAGAGAGCCTTACTGCTTTTCAGTAGCCAAGGAAAATAGAAATCAAAGTTTGGAATCATCATTGTATTAAAAAAGTATTGTATATATATTTCACGTTCCAAGTTAAACAACAGTAAGATAATAAAAGTGATAATGAGATGGAGAAATTCTAGCCCGGTATTTAGGTTGTATCTGCTATATATTTGCACACAAGAACTGAGCTTTTTCTTTTGATTCCAAACCTCACTAACAGCATGAATGTATTGACTGTAACCAAACTCGTGGTTTGTTTGAATTGTCAGAGGAAAGAGGGGAAAAAAGTCTTCGCACGGTGCAATTCTTTACCAAGAAATAATGCCTTACATTATTTTATGGGTGGCAGAATTTTAAATATTTCATCTGGGAGCAATTACAATCTCCCCTGTTCATGTTAGCTGACCTTGCAGGTTGTGAAACATTCATTTTAGTTTGCATTTAATTATCATCTCTCCTGAATCCATCCAGCTGCTTTTGCAGCGTGTTTGCATTTCTGTCTCTGATACTTTCTAGTTTATTTTTAAAGCAATAACTCCCCATTGCTGCATCTGCTCCAATACTGTTTTCCAGGTTACGTTCATGCTGCTTGACCAGAACAACAGAGAACACATCATTGATGCCTTCCGCCCAGACTTGACGTCTGCTTCATTTCAGAGACCGGTGAGCGACATGAACGTTGCAAGTGGTTGTCCCATGTTCCTCCCTCTGTCCAAATTACAGTCACCTAAATACGCCTATGTGAAAGAAGACACACTTTTCCTTAAATGCATTATAGAAACAAATTAGTAAATCCTGAAGTATGTACCTATGCGACCTGGCTGTTGCATGTGCATGGAGGGTCCCTCCCTCCTCCTCTTCTCCCTTTCTCTCTCTTTTTTTTTTTTTCCTGCTATATTTAACTGGTTCTTTTAGGGGGGAAAAAACACATTATTTTCCCCAGTAATGAATCCCCAGACCCTCTAATAACAGTTTTATGCTTAGGAACATTATGCTCTTCATGGCTGTGTACTTTTGACAAGAGTCTCTCTTCCATATTTAATTTCTTTTAGGGGGAAAAACACATTATTTTCCCAGTAATGAACCCCCAGACCCTTTTAAGTTTTATGCTTAGGAACGTTATGCTCTTCATGGCTGTGTACTTTTGACAAGAGCTGTATTTATTACAACTATTCATGTTTTCTTACCATTTTATTTATTTCCTAAATAAAGTTCACTCACTTAAAAAAGGGCTTGGGGGTTATTTTGCCTGTAAAATAACAGGCCCCAATGGGAGCCAGTTGCTGCAGGAGCAGCCCAGGCGCCGCTGCAGGACTCGCAGCCGCGGGGCAGGAAGGATGGGCCCATCCTCCCGTTGCTGCTGGAAGTCGGTGCCTTCGTACGGAGGAAGCATCGCCCCGTAACGGGGCTTCTGCTTGCTGGGAAAGGCAATAAATGGCCGTGAGGCAACGTGAAGAGGCTGGAAGGGCTTTGGGCTGCCTTTGGCTGCGCTTTGTGCCTCTGGAGAGCTGCAGGAAAGGGCATTGGAGAGGCACCTGGAGAGCGGTCACCGCTCCACCCACACGTGCACAGGACCCCTCAGCTTTCCGAACTGAGCCCTGCGAAGCAGCGTGCGAGGTCTCTGGAGTGCCCGGCTCCAGCCAGGGTGGCTGGAAAGGATCTGGGAGCGCACGGCATCCCGCAGCACCGCTGTGGGAGAGAACAACCTGGTGGAACCCCCTGCCAGCCGCCCTGCAGTGCATCCCTCCCCTGCAGCAGAAGGGGCTTCTCCTCTACTTAGATTTTTCTCCTTCTTGGAAATGTCTTTCCTGCGCCTTGCGCGGGGCCTGCAGACGTGTGCGCAACGTATGTGTATCGGGGTTACGTAGCGCCGCGTGGATACAAACCTCGAGCACTCACCGGCTCCGCGTGCCTTATGCAATGGCAGCGAAGCACGCAAAGAAAGTTAAGCTAAAAGGGACGATAAAAAAGACTGGAATCCCCATGCCTAAAGGCTCTTCCTTTTAAAGGCACAGCCGGCACGAGCACCTCCAGCGCCCGTGGGCACCGGGAAGGGCAGAGCGGCCGCGGGGCCCGGCAGGAGGG